GAATTTCTAGAGAGAATAGACATGGGGAGGCATGAGGATCCACTGCTCTGAAGAGCAAGGCTTGCTGTGAAGGGAAGAGGGAGAACAGGGGCCACAGGCTGGGCCATGGGGAGAGGGAAGGGGGAATAATAAAAAGCCTTGCCGATTGTTCAAGAGGGAAAGTTGACGAACAGAGGGAGCCATGAGTGCTCTTGGGGAGGCCCTTGGCCACAGCCCTGCGCTCCCTGTTTTACTCATTCTGGGACTTTATTTATCATGGACGTCAGTGCCTGTTGAATTTCTGTCACCGCATAGGGCAGTAGATCATGTCTGCTGATCTGCAAAAGATGAGAACTGTGTACCAAGGGGAGGCAAGAGCACAGACTGAATACGGGGCACTGCTTTCTCAGCAGTGGAAACAGATGGGAATGACCAAGAGGGCAATCTCAGGATGACAGGAGTGCAGGGGCAGACTCACGTCAAATGACATGGCTTCCTTTTGGAAAACCTGGGTGAGGAGTGAGAACTTCTGTTTCCAGGATGATGTTTTGTATGCAAAAACATTTGTATACCACCCAGGAATGCTGCAGGACATAGCAGAATTCCCTTTTTAAATGTACAACTGAGATGGGTTTAAAAGTAAGGAAAGTCCCTAAGTTCTAAAAATGAAGAGGGAAATAAAACTCAGAGAAGTAAATTAGGCCTGGACCTGTCTGGGGAAATTTGGTGACCTGGATAATCCAGCAACTTAAATTTTGATGGCTGCAAAGGCACAAGGCCAAAGCCAAGGATATCAGGAACCAGAGGAATAAGGAGAATAACTGGGATACTGACAGGTCGAATCCTCAGTGGTGGGGGGAGACGGTGAAGGAGAACCCAGGCAGCCTGTCTTGAGCCTGCTCTTAGCCCCCCTGAGAATGTGTGCCCACGGTCCTCCTCTCTCAGAACTTGGGGTTCAAATTGGCCTTCCTTATGCTGTTCAAGAAAATACAGTAAGTCAAACGGCATATAGCAACTGTCAGTGTTCCCAGGATGCCTGGCAGGCACACGGTCTGGAAGAATACAGTTTCTGCCCAGGCCCCACAAGATACCCACCTGAGCTCACCATCCCACATTACAAAACACAGAATTAGCCAAGATACTGAGATTGAGATAGAGGTGATAGATAGATAGATAGACAGACAGACAGACAGACAACAAGCAGCAGAGTTAGACCTCAAGAACTTAACAATTTATCACCTATAGAAATAAAAGAAGAGGTCTGGGAAGTCCTAGGGTGTTTTCCTAGCATACAAAGTTCTGGTTTCATCTACAGCACTGGAAAGAAAAAAAGAGAGAGAGACAAAGAAAGAAGAAAAAAGGGAAGGAGGAAGGAAGGAAGGAAGAATAGGTTGTATAAAGAAATGAAAGATTGAATCAAAATTAAAATACAGGAATAAGATATAATTAGAAACAGAACTATTAAAGAAATATATGTCAGTTATTGAAATTTAAAACCCCCAAATAGGCTAATATGCAGTATAAATACCGATGAATACCAGATTCATGAACTTGGAGAGGGGATGAAGTCCTGTGACTGGAGGTCGGAAATGAGAAGAGATTCACACGCTGGCAAGGGACAGTGGAGTGAAAGACAACTGAGGTTCAAAAGCTGAAGAATTCAGGTGTTTCTTTTTTAATATTTTAAGAAACGTGTTCATTGGTGGAGGAGACGGATATAGGACTTAGACAACAGTGGCAGAGTAACCAACTTGGAAAGCAGGGCTTCTCAATCTCAGCCCTTGTTTTATAATTTTGTTTTGTTTTTGCTTAAAAGACAAATGGGATGTGTTCAAAGTGATGTGGTAAGTAATGCAGACACAGAAATGACCGTCACAGTTCCCTAGAAACAGAAGGTACCGCATGCCACATAGAGCCATATAGGGAAGCACCAGGTCGGTCAGGATGCAGAGAGATGAGGTAAAAATATGTACGAGAGCCATGATTGTGGTTTCTGCAGGATGGGGACAGGAGACGCAAGGTGGGCAGGCTTGGAGCTGGGTGGTTTGAACAATTCAGCAGACTCTGGGCATGGGGCTGTGTCTGATGGTCTGGTACCTGCCCTGTGTTGAGTGGGCAGGTGGACAGTGGTTCAGAGTATGGGAGCTTCATGAAGGAGGAGGTGGAACTGTGGGCTCTGGGTTGGTTGGCTGTATATTTACTAGACCTAGGAATGAGCTACTCCTAGAAAAACAGAAAGGTTCCAAAATGTCCAAGTATCAGAACAGAGAACATAAAAGATAGTTTAATATGAATAAATATAGCACTACTGATATTTTGAGCTGGGTAATTCTTTCATGTGGGTGGGAGCAGAAGGACTCTCCTATGTATATTTTATTAATTTTTAAAATTTATATATAAAAGCAGAATGCACTACAATTCATATTACACATATAGAGCAC